CAAGCTGTATATTGTAAAGCGCTGCGCAAACTGTTGGAGCTATATAAATCCTGTATAATAATAATAATTCTGGATCCCATGGAGCCACAAGAGAATACAATGCTTCTGATAGAGAATCTCTGCACTTGGAGGCTAACTGACATCCCTCACTATAGAAACTGTGGGTGTCTTCGTGCTGAAGAGGATTTGTAAATGGGCTTGGAAGATTTGAAAGTCCAAAATTTGAATCTGGCTTTTGAAGTTGAGGCCCGAGAATAACGAAAGGAGCTCTTCTTGGCAATGAGAGAATGGGGGAGATTTTGCTGCGTGATGATGGGGCAAATGAGTACTCCTACCTCTAGTGATGATGGGGGTGTTCAATGCAGTTTCAAAGAGATGTTGACCTTCAAAAGGCATGTGTAACAAATGCTTTTTGCATGCCTGTTCTGCAGCCCAACATTTTAGCCAAACAGTCCTCCTCATGTTCACTGAAAGGAGGCTCATACCGGATGTACAATAGAAGATATATTCACTAACCCATCCATGCAGTAGCTTAGGCCTGTTGCCATGAGCTCAAAGCGCTCCATAAAACAAGGTATACATCTTATGGCCTAGTCCAGTCCCCTAAGGTTTGACAAACTAGCATCACAGCCAGGGTAAGTTGTAATGTTGTGCCAGCCAGAGAAAAAAGCTTAGACATAATCTCCAAGAGTTTGTTGATTGAATCCTTTAAAACACATTCTTTATGGGTATTGTCAGTGCTTCATTAAAGAGGAACTTTACCTATACCTTCAAAATAACAACAAAGGCACATTTTAGAAATGTTTAGTAATGACAATCTACAAACGGCTAGCGGCTAAAAGACTTTAAACAGACTTCAAGTTCTAATTTAGATAAAAGAATCTGCGCTCTTGGAAAGATAAGACTATCACTTGCACAAACTTCAAGTTCTGCTGAAGCTTACAAAAGCCTGCAAGCAGCTTGTATCATGTACCTGGTAGAGGACCGAATAGTTGAGGAGGCCTCCTTTGCAACTCTTGTCCCACACCCCTGAGAGGAAGACATGGCCACGCACATGTACAGTATCACCCAAACAGCCAGGTATAGTCTTACAGCTTGTTTAAACTCTGTGGTCAGCAATTCAGGTTGCAAATTGGCACATAAAATCCTGCACAACTGCTGGGAAATCTTTCTTAGATAGAGCCGAGAATAACTTTTGCAGGCTGTCAGTGTCATTACCACTGTAATGACCACTGTAAGGTACCACTATACCTTAGAGTGGTACTTTAGATCCAATTTGCAATTATCTTCCAAGGTTTTGGGACTATTAGCTTTACAGGGAGTATAAAAATATGCGCAGGCAGTTTTAGGTGCTCACTACACCCCTTCCTTCCATTTGCAGATTTACAATGAACATGTGCTCATTTTAAAGGTTATGAATAATTTCAATAACAAGAAAAACAATTGAAAGAATTAAAATACACATTTTATTCTATCATTTTCTTTGGCAGATTGTTACATTTTAATATGTTCTCAGTTTTATGACTGCTTTATGACAAAGAAAAACATTTAATAAACAAGACACACAAATGGCTTATTCCTTAACAATCTCTTATTTTCTATCCTCTAGTAGTGTAACTGCTTTAATCCAGTGTCAGATTTATACAAGTAGACAACATAATGTACATTGAATAAAGTGCTATTCATTTGCAATCCATATGACCCTGTTAATATAGAAAGACTATATAAAACTACTGTTTATTGTATGTAAATTGACCTAAAATAATATAAGTTAGTAATAGCTCAAGAATTGTTTTCTTTGAACATCTGACAGTTACATACAAATATGTCATCATTTAGTTCAGGAATTGTATATATATAGGTGTATTTTGCTTTTCATCAAAGCAACTTATCAGGAAAGAGGGGGACACTTTCCACTTACTCAAAGAAGAAAATTTTACTGAATTATAGCCCTCAGCTCACTTGCATCCACAGGGCTCACTAAACATATTACCATCTGACCATACCATTAAACAACAATCAAGTTTGGATAATTGTGGTGGGCACTCATATTATATAGTTTTGTTTGTACCTGATGAGGCAGGTCAGTCAGGCAGGTCCTTGCACTACATACTTGTTAGAAGGTCTAAAGGAGATTATACAATCAGATTGTACTGTGTGTGGAGAGCTTAAGAGATGGATGTACGAAGCCTGAGTCCTCTTTAGAAATTAGCTGTATCCCACTGCTGCCTTCCATAATCTTCACATCCCATGGGCAAAATGTTCCTTTTCCCCTGCCTACACAGTTGACGCTGAAAAACGTCTATGGAGCTCTCTCCCAAGCGTCTCCTGTTTTAACAGAAAGGAAAATTTTGGAATGCAGCTGTTGGATTCAAGAAAGTATGCATCTGGTACGGGGGCAGGGGTCAAAGCAGGAAGGATAACTGTACTTTATGTGAAAATACAGCTATCCTTTAAATTGCCTCTGCAAATGTGAATAATAAACTCTTATATATACCCTTAAAGTACAAGTGCACTTTAAAACAACGTACACTTTCCATTTTTGCACCCCCCCAACCCTTTCCCTCCGCAGATATATAATTACCTCAATCCTATGCCCATGGCCTCTAGAGATTGTTTACATCCCATGCCACAAGTCCTCCATCTCTTTGCCACGCCTGCGTAGTAGCCCCTATTGACTTCTACTGGGCTTGTCTACTTCCATCTCCCGGCAAAGAGACAAGCTCAATAGACGTCCAAGGGGTTCTACTGTACACGTGGAGAGAGGAATTGCAGTATGGGATGTAAACAATGTCCATAGGCCTTATATCAAGGTACGTATTAGACATGTGCGATTCGTTTCGTTCCGAATCGAAATTCGGACGAATTTTCATAAATTCGGACATTCGGATGTATCCGAATTCCGAATTACAGACATAACGAATGCAAACGAATCCGAATTTCCATTTCCGAAATTCGGTAGCGTTCGCACGAACGTTCGTTTCGTTTTCTGTTCTTATTCGTTTCTTTTTCGTTCGTTGGAGCAAAGTGACATTAGAGAAGGAGAAAAATATTTTTCCCCCCTCAAATGTCACTTTTGCTGCAAACGAATAAGAAACAAATAAGAAACGAATAAGAAACGAATAAGAAACGAATAAGAAACGAATAAGAACAGAAAACGGAACGAACGTTCGTACTAACGCTACCGAATTTCGTCCGAATCCAAATTCCGAATCCGAATTGACTTTCACACCCGAATCCTGAAAAACGAAATAACACAAATCCGAATTTAAAACGAAACAAAACAAATTTTTTGGCAGTGCACATGTCTAGTACGTATACAGCTGTAGAGGGTGGGATCTGTTATGTCAGGGGAGGCACCAAAAAAAAGTACTTTGAAAGTGAACTTATTTTTTAATTTGGGATATAATTATTATTTTAATTTGGAACATAACTATTGTTGCAAGGCCAATTTATTAGTGGAGAAGAGGGAAAAGTAGAAATGTTCAACCTAGCAACCACAAAAAGGCAACAACTGTTAATTTTACTTTCACTCACTAAAATTCGACAGCTGGAATCCTAGCTGCAATACTTTTCTTTTATTTAACAATTATGTATCAAGACTGTACTGTTTAAAAGGCACAATACACAGTATGTTGCACTGGAAATTTGAACTGTAAGGTTAGCTTTGATAAGTCCACCTTTATGAAATAATAAACAGAATTTACATAAAAAAAAAAAAAAAAACCACACCCTTACCACTAAGATATACTGCACAGGCCATTTTTGCAAGCTACACATTAGTATGTGTTGACAGCAGTATATACACTTTAAAATAAATAAAATATGTATATCTTTAACTATATAAAATATGTATACCTTTAACTATTTCTTTACTAGTCAGCATAAAAATACATAACGGAAAATACAATGCTATATATCAAACTCTTTTGTAAACAATGTTAACAGATTACAGTGGTGTACTTGCAGTTTTGTGTTACTTTGTTTGGAGCGCTATTAAATCCACCCATAACTGTTTACTCTTGTCACAGTGATACCATGATGACACGTCTTGCCCTCATTTATGATAAGCAGTGATGTCTACATAAACTCAAGAAGAGGGCGGGTGGCATGGATGAAACCACAGCTTTGTATAAAGCTGAGCCTGGTATATCAAACCTGCATTATAGGAAGTCAAGATTTAATTATTTAAACACTTAAAGTCATACCCTCATTAAAGAAGAAACCCTCGTTTGGGAAACTAGAGGATCCCAGGCACTCTCTCTCTAGGGGCTCAACATCTACAACTGAGTTAAGTCCAGCCCAATCCAATGACATTGCTCTGGTTGCCAACACAGCACTCTCTACCTTATACTATTCTTACACAAGGCAAGTTTGTCACAATTTCAGCCAGTTTTGTGTGCACAAAATGGCTGGACTTGCAGAACAAACTACCACCAACAGTTTATATAAAATGGAGGTTTGAAGGTTGCCTTGATCCACTGATTTGCTTTGCTTATGAATGCTGGTTGAAACTTCTTAAAATTGCTAGGAAATTGTCTAAGTGTATGACTAGCATTTGTGTTGCTGCTTTTATTATTGCAGTATTCAAGTTAAAGGAAACCTGTGGTAAGGGAAACATGAAAGCCACTGGCTTTGGTGCTTTATCTCAATATCCTGGAACAACGATGCAGACAGAAATGTCTGACTTTAAGCTGACTTTCCTATTCTGCATACTCTTTCCAGGTGCAAAACTCACAAAATATTGAAGCCATTGAGTCAGCATACCAGTCAGACAATCTGCATTTTCACAAGGTCAGAAATGGCTGTCTCTATATTTCTCTTGGCATAGGATTTACTCTTTTTTTTTCTCCCCACATAGTGGCTAGCAATAATAGTGGTCTTTCATCACTATCCCAGTGGACTGCCATTCAATGAGCGCGTTTAGCCTTTGTTCAACTCTTTCAAGGAAGAGAGGAGCCATTGGCAGTAAAGGTAATTCTTGACTTCCCAAAGCTTTTGTTGCATCTGTAAAGATGCTAATACACCCTGTAGACAAGTGGAAATGCTCTTTTATAGTAAATTTACAAGAAGAGATATAAACTACTCTCCCAGGTACATGTCACATTAGTAAATTAGTTAAAAAGAGCAATGTAACATTTGATTTAATATACAACAAGAAGCTGTTAATTGTGTATGCTGTGTGCTTCAGTCAGACGTCTGATCAGAAACATTTTGTCTCTGCTCTCCTAGAAGAAAAAAAAAAAAAGACACTAATTAGACAAACTCTAAATCAGCAATTTACTTTTTTTGTATTATCTATTTACTTACTCCTTAGAATAGAAAAACTATTACGATTTAAAACTTCAGCCAAAACTTAATTTGTGTAGTCATGGATAGAGAAGTTTAGAATGTCTGCCAGGTTTATTTCAGCCTGTGTCACCACTGGGAAAATCCACCTGCGCTCTTGTGTGGTCACCAGGCCAAGAAGTTATGGAAAATATTTTTAAGGAATCACAGACCAGAAGTAAAATCTGACAAAAGATTTCACCATCCCCAATTTTATGGAAACAAAAAAAAGAAAATGGTTGGAATTCTACTTTAAGTACTTAGGACAAACTGTGCAATATAACCATTGCAGAAGTCTGTGGAAAGTAACTGGAACCAGAACTGCTCCTCAAATTTCCATCATATGTTATGTTTCTTTGCATCCGAGGACCACCTCCTCCCCAAACTTAGGCACGAACTATGAGGGGGGCAAATTAATGGAGCTCCCTGTGCCATTATGGTGCAGGAAACTCGATCAAGTGCAAGCAAATACAACTTTTTGTGGGGGGAAGGTGTGGTTGAGTGCGGGCAGAGGCAGATGGAGCAAGCACCTGCCGCTCTGTATGCCATGTCTGGTGCAGTCATGGGACAGAAAACACAGCAATAAAAGGGGTTTGTATCCCCATTGTTATATAGCAGCAAGAGCTGTTCTGTTTTCTCAGATTAGAACTTATTTTTGTTAATTCCAAATCCCCGAATATGTATTCTAAACTTGACTATCAGGCAAACCAATGGTTTGCCACATTTCACTTCAGGACCTCAGAGAATACAAAAGTACACTGTCAGATATATGGGATGAATATTGTTGTGTAAGAACTGTTTGCCACAAAGCTTCTTTTATGCATTTAGGTGTTCTGGAACCAAAATGTTTTCTATTGAATAAAGTGAAATGGGTAAAGCGGAAGTGAAAAAAGGAGGCTTATCATGACACAAGAGACTGTGGAAGTCTCTTCTGCCATAAAGCTTTTTGCTGCCTGTCAGCAATCTTTTTATTCTGTGCATGCATGCGCAGCTCAGTGCACAGGCATGAAATAACTCCTGTGCACATGAGGGGCCCGGCCAATCAAGCAGCTGAAGAATCTGAACCCAGAAAAAGACCGGGCAAACATGGAACCACCGGAAAGGGTGGAGCAAATTGCTGGAAGGGGTTGCTTTGCATACTAGCCCATTATGGCTAAAAGGCTCATGGAGCTTTTCTCGTTTTTCCATCCCTAATTTTACTTCAGGTTTTAAAACCCCTGTTAGTTTTTCCCTGTCCCAAAGAACCAACAGGAGGTAACGTTGGCCATTCAGCCCCACAGACTGACTGAGAAAAAAAAAAAATTCAATTCCCCCATCCATGCTGGTGGGTGTGGTACTGTCACAATACCTGAACAGTGACTGCAGCTGATCAAGTTGATTAAAAAATGGATCCTCGTTGAACAAAGGAGTGCCAACAGGGCCACACATTACTCAAATTTCAAGCAGTGTATGGCTAGCTTTATAGGAAATCTTAGCCCCCCATGTAATAGCAATAAAGCTGTGTGTGTAAAAAAAAAAAAAGTAATACTAAATTAAAGAATCATAAAAAAATTAAAAAAGAAGAAAAACTGTTTTTTAAAGTCCCCACCACCCACATACGCACGCAGATATGCGTCGGGTGCGCCTACGTGCGAAAACGAGGATTGCGTCTATTGTTCCGCACATGTTAAATATCGCCGCAAACGTCGGAGTGAGAGCAATTATTTTAGAGCCATTAATGCCTGATAACACTAAACTGATGAGCAGTAAAAGCGTTTTAATCGTCGCCTATGGGCGTTTTTAACATAAATTGCAAGGCTATAGTCCGGTCATGCTGACTGGTGACATTTTTGACTGACTGGTGAGACACCATCAAATTTTTCAAGCCCTGTTTATAAGCATATAAGTGCATAACCATGCTTCCTTTTACAGCGAGGAAAAATATATACTATACTATAATAAGCAAACTATTTAAAAAAAAAAAAAAAAAACAATACATAAGACTTTCGTTTGTAAATGTAGTGTGTGAGAATATATTCTTTATGCACAGTGTATTTTTACCATGACCAGTCGTTCTTGCAGCTGCTCGACCACCTTCTTGTGGGCTCCGGCCAATGCAATAAAATAGAACATGACCAGACTGCAGAGAGAGAATATTACATCAATTTTAAGTGGCACATAATATCCAAGCAGTATCTTAAAAAAGAAATGTAAAATGTTATCAATGTTTTTACATCAATATGAAAGGAGAGCATCTTAATGAAAACAATCATATCAATATGTATTAACCCCTTCGTGACTGAGGCCTTTTTTTCATTTTTTTGCACCCATGTTATATTCCACATTTTAGGCCTGAAAATGACTTAAAAAACCCCCAAACATTATATATTTTCTGAATGCCAAGACCCTATAGAATAAAATGGTGGTAGTTGCACATTTTTATGTTGCGCAATATTAGCGCAACTCCTTATTAAACTCCTAAAGTGAAAAATTTAATTAAATGCCCCAAAACACAACAAAATACCAATTTTTTAATGAAATATAAAAGATGAGGTTACAACGAGTAAAACGATACCCAACATGCCCAGGTTACAAATTGCGTGCGTCCGTGAAACGGCGAAAAACTGCAGTACCCCAAAAAGTCCATTGAAGACGCTTTAAAAGCATAGCTCCCCACCGACACAAAGGAAGCCTGTCCCTGGCCCGTAGGAGAGGCAACGGAGCCCAGGAAGCACGGCGGGGCGGACCGCAGGGGGGGGGCGGCCCCTTCTACGCGACACAGAAGCGATCTGGCGACAGGTAATTCGCCAGAATCGCTTCTGTTGTAAAGCCCCAATGCTGGCGACGTACGCTGTACGCCGTCAGTCATGAAGGGGTTAAAGCGGACCTTTACCCATATCTTTAAAATAACAAAAATGCACCCTTTGAAATGTTTAGCGATGACAATTTACAAACAGATACTTCTAGATAATTGCCGGCTTTGTATTCTTTGCATACCTAATTTCTCTTTTCTTCCCCAGTCTTCTGACAGTGGCCATGTTTACCAAGGGCAGATTACTAGCTCTTCCACTACTTCCTGGATTTCTGGCACATGTGACTAGGACATATGACTAGGACATTTGACCATGCTCATCATCATCTTAGGGAAGCAAAATGCCTTTTCCTGAGATCTCATGAGATTACAGATGAGATTTCCCAAACTCATTTTTTAAAAGACATTTTGCCCTTTCAAAGCAGGAAGTGAATGCTCTGCAAGTGTAAGTATTCCAAAATTCTAGCATTTTATACCTGACATGTCTATGGTTTTATTAATCATCATACAGAGGGCTGCATTGGTAGAATTTGATTTTTGCATGTAAAGGTTAGCTTTCATGGTTTAGAAGCCTTGTTTCTGTGCAAATTTTAAATTCTATATGTACACGGGGGAAGACACCTTTTGTTTATTACATTCACAGGCTCGGGTTTCTGCACTACAGTAGTGCACAATGGCGGGCTCTACTGTATGTGATGTTCTGAATTGTATTATCGTGCTAATGTGTAACTGAATTCTGATATTGTATATGTGTGATGTGCTGAATTCTATTATCGTTTTAGTGCGTGCTGAATTCTATTACTGTATATGTGTGATGTGCTGAATTCTATTTGTTTTTTTATGTTATGTGCAGAATTATATTATTGTGTATGTGTGTGCTGAATTCTATTACTGTATATGTCTGATAAGCTGAACTGTAACATTGTATGTGTTTGTGGTGTGTGTCCTCATGTGAATTGTTGCTCTGTATTAATGTGTGTGCACATCTGTGACATAGTGACATAGTCTGTTACTGTGCGTGTCATGCAGTGATGGACCTATGGAACAAAGGGAAACATGCCGCTGTACACAGTGACAGCCCCGGAGCTTCCGTTCTGCCTGCAGAATCATATCATAAGGAATTGGTTTTAAGCAAAAATGGGGAAACTTACCACAAAGTAATAGCTGATGCGATATCAATGACGAGGGGTGAATAGAAGGGGGACTTCCACTGGTGGGGATTGTGTACAATCAGTTGTGCTTGTGGGAAGGTCAGGGGGAATTGAGGGTTTGGGGGGTGCACAACAACCCCTTCGCCCGACACCTGATTTTCTACGGACGTTACATTGATGATATCATCATCATTTGGGACGGTCCCCCTGACACCATCAATGACTTCGTTACGCATTGCAACTTTCCACTCCTTAACATTTTCCCAACTACCCATTCATTCCCCCACCCCATAACCCCCCGCAGCCCACCAGCCATTTTTTCATTATTTAATTGGTTTTTCCATATTATCGTCAGTCACTTCCTTGCTTCCCCCTGCCTTCATCCCCGCCCTCCTCGAAACGCGTAGCCGCATCAACGTTCACCTGCCCACACTTGCCTTCTCCCCGAGACTCAGCGCTCGTCGCCCCGGGCGCCCCTGCTCGCAACCTCGAGCGCTGAAGTCACATCACTCCTACTGACTCTCCCGGCTCCGACGCCTGCAGCGTCCATCTCCTGGCAACCGCCTATCACAGCCTTCTCCGCTCTCTGTGCCTGCCCGCCTCCAGCCGTCCTCTCTCCCCCTGACACACCGCTCGTTGTCTCGGGCTGGCTTGCTCGTGCCCTCGAGCGTTGGAGTCCCAACACTCCCATCAGCGATCCTTTGCTGGACACCTCGGGCTCCGTCCCAGTCCCCTCACCCCCCCCCACCATACCCAATCACCCTCACCCTCGTGGTAGCGCTGTCTCAGGGGACTGCAATCCCAATTTTTCACTGCAGAATCATATACCTCCGCAGCGCTGGTCCAGCCTGCAGAGCATCAGAGAGGACCAGCGGCCATTGCCTCCCTACCCCGTGGCCTAGTCTGCCCGTCAGTGGGCCCCCCCTGAGCCCTGGGGCTGCCACACCGGCTCCACCGCCGGCAGGCCTGACCTGATATCATGTGCTGGACTGTGTTACTGTGTGCGTGCGCATGTTCTGGTATGTGTCCGTGCATGTGTATATGAATACATGTGATGTACTGAATTGTATCATTCTGTGTTTGTTATGTGGTAAATTGTATCATTCAGTGTGTGTGATGTGCTGAACTGAACATTTGACATGCTGGAGATTATTACTGTGTGTCTGTGCAAGACATGCTGGGCTGCAGTATTGTGTGTGTGCACGTGTTATGTGGTGGACTATACAACTGCACAAGTCGTGTCACAGATTATACTGTTTTTAAAGAGAGAAAACTTTGGGGAAATTGCAATATGCTGCAGAAATGTACTGCATATGTTTTTCTAGATTTTCTTCAGACTGGGACCCAGGGGAGCCCGGCCAAATGCCGTGCGTGCCGCCTGGGTCGCTATGGCATCTTACGCTGGTGGCTTTCACTGGCGGCTGTGAGAAGAATGCGCTGTTGTTCAAATAACTGACAGTGATCTGTGCAGCAGCACGTTCTTCTCACAACCGCTGCAGAGTTAATAAGAGCCAGCAGCGGCAGTGGAGGAGGGGCCCGTGGACGGCAGCAGAGGAGGCGGGCACGGCGACGGAGGAGGAGGGGCCCAACAGCAAAACGCGCAGGAAGAGGAGGCGGACAGTTAAGGAGTGTGACCCTGCAGAGCCCACCATAGAGAGCCTATGGTGGGCTCTGCAGAGTTACCCTCAGGTGGGCTGCGTGGGGTCTCAAGTGGGCTCTGCAAGGGGCATAACTAGAAGTCACAGGGCCCCATACAAAATGTTGCTATGGGGCCCTGTGATTTCTAGTTACACCCCTGCTTTAACTATTAACAAAAATGTATATTATTTGCGTATCACTCAGCTGTAGATACTCATATCATCTCTGAATTCGTGCTGACACTGTCCTTGCTTCTGGAGGGTGGCTACTTTTGTTCCGCATGGTCGCTGTGTGTGTTACAAAGTAGCCACCACTCCAAGCTCATTCCTGTGATGGACTACAATCTCAATACAAATTACTAAACTAAATGTGAGACCCTTGTAGTTTGTAGCCGTGGTAGGTACAGTTTTGTTATTAGTTAAGGCACTTGAATGTATTTTTAAGATTTAACTCCTGAGTTTAGTGTCACTTTAAGTTTGGCATCTCCTATGTCACTGCAATGCTTTCAACATGGATGAAATGGGCATCAGTGACAATCAGTGACTAAAGTAAAGAGGGCCAAAGAAATGATAAATTAACCAGAAATGTTTTTAAAATGTGAACACATACCATGACAGCAGGAAAAATGGGACTGCGAAGGATTCAGATGAAATGACGTAGATGGTCTTTCTCAGGCCGTCTGGAAAAGAATCTACAGTGGAGGGGATGATCTGCCATGATGTGTTATAGTTGATGAATGGGCCACATGCTTTGGAAGCTGGTATGCTGCAGATTAACAGACATATATATGAGATATAGTTCCTCTCACATAGAAGTATGAGAGGAGGTACACATAAAAAATACAACACTGACAAATTTCCTCACCTAGCAATTCCAATCCCCACAGGGACGCAGGCAAGGACAAGGCCTATTAGCAGTATCACCTGGAAGAAGAAATTGGAGCTTGAGGCTCGGAAAGGCCTGGTAGCTGGCCTGCAATTCTCCATTAAAGAGATCTGAGGGAATAAGAGAGTATAAGATCTGGATGTGTACTAATAATATCAGCCAACCTGATTTATAAAAGATTTAGCATTTTAACCTAGTGCCCAAAGCAAAAAAAGATAGATGCATACATTTAGCAAAGTGGTCTTCGGATGACTTGAATTTTATCCAATCTATTTGGTATCTAAGCACGCATATCGTTCACCAGTTAAAGACACTTTCATTGCATACAATAAAGCTTTATAAGTAGGGATGTCCTTGTACTCGTGAAAATGCCCTGATACTGAAGGCTGATACTGGCCCCTTAAATTTTTAAGTCAGATCAGCCGCCTCAGGTCCCGTGTTTGTGGGGTCCTGAAGCAGCCTTCCGGGGACCTGGCAGTAGCTGTATTTGACACTGCCTGCCAGGTCCCACATGCCCTCCACCTTCCTGGGGCAGGCACTGCTTGAGGCAGCCCCACACCGCGAATACAGCCTCAGAGCGGACACGAGACAGGCACTTGCTCCGTTTGGCACTTGCTCAGCACAGCAACTGTCAGAGCCATGGAGAGACGCAAAATGCAACCCTGGTGACATCTGTATGCAGCGCAGGAGAGATGCAATATGCAGTCCTGGTGACATCTGTATGCAGCGCTGCAGAGACCCAATAAGCAGCCCTGGTGGGATCTGGACGCAGTCCTGGCGGGATCTCTATTCAGCTCTGGTGAGATGTGGACGCAGTCTGTTGAGAAACTGCCCTAAAATCATTTGTCTGTATTGTTTTAGAAAACATTTCTCATGTCCCTTTTAAGAATAAGTATCGGTAATTGGTATCGGCAAGTACCTGAGGGCAAGTACATGTACTTGGTTGTGAAAAAGTGGTATCGGGACATCCCTATTTATAAGAAATAAAAGTCTAAAGTGGCCTCATCTGATAGATAACCGAGACACATATGGGAAATTTATGCAAGGATGTGATCTGTACAAATATTATAAATCAAATGTATAAAAGCATTAATTCTATGCAAGATAAAACTTACTTTTTTGACGTAGAATATAATGAAGTACTTTATAGTCGCTATGGCTGGAAGAAGTGGAGAATAGAAGGTTCCGATCCAGCAGATGGTCTGTCCATACACAATCTCAAGCACGTTTGCTGGGATCTGGAACTCCTGCTGGCCCCACCACTGAGCTGGCTTACAAGAGCAATAAGTGACCAGCAACCTAAAAACCAAAGAACATTGCTTAAATGTGAGGTATTCAGAAAGCTAATCTCTGAGGGTTTTTTTTTTTAATCAGTTCAGGTATGGTGTCCAATTAGGATCAGTGATTGACAGCTGGCTCTGCCTATCTAGAGGCAGAGCCAGATGTGCCCGCCCCTCCCCATTCCGCCAGTCAGCGCTGGAGGATCGGAGCGCGATGTGTTCGCTCACTTCCTGATCTATTGAGCCGACGTGTGACAGTTTCATTGTCATACGTCGGCTTGAACTATGAGGTTGAGTGAAAATCACTGACCTCATAGTTCTCCTTTTAAGGCCTTGTTGTTTATGGCAGAAGGGGTGGTATAAACTGGTAGTTGATCTGTGTTTTTACCACCCTCCAACTGCAAAACTAAAACCTAGACTAAAAGAGGGGACACTCAGGCTTGTACAAACGCTGCAGCAAATTTTATAAAGCATGTCACATTTGGCAGACAGTGCCACTTGTGAAATGTGACCACTGTAGTCAATGGGACCAGGCTACAATCTTGTGCCAACCACTTGGCATGCAGTTGAGGCAAGGTATCGGATCGCCTCCTAGCTGTCAACTACTCTCTGTAAAGAGCTTCACCAAGAAAAATGTTGGTGTACCTATAGAGACCGTTCTAAATACTAGGATCCACACAACACCAATTGAATCCACACATATCTATAATGTAGATGTTTAGGTCTCCTAAAGGCATGGTTTGTCCTAACAGTTGTATGGAGTGGGACTGGGTGGACTGTTGTTCACTGAATGTATGCCCATTTTTACTTTGAAAAGTTTGTTAATATGGGTGAATGAAGTGAAACTGATTTAGCTGCTAATGAAAACCTTCCCAGTGTTCTTTATTTTCCTTATTTTCATGTACTTTATATATTTCTTCCACACACAAAAAAAAAAGATACTGAAAAAAGTAAAATGAAAATGTAAAACAAATAAGTAAAAATCGAAATAACATTTTTAAAGTCCTTTCTCCCCTTGTTATCTTTGTCCTGCGCAAACTATAAATGGGGGGTTTGTGACATTCCCTGAGACATCTCATATAAATGATGGCTTTGGGGCAAAGGCAAGCATTATTGGTGTGTACTCCAGGCATGTTGGGCTAGACTGGGCAACCTTTCCCAGCACAGTCCTATAGAATAGACAAGGACAACTGCTTTCTTTGCGTACTGTGAAGTCAGTTCACACCACAGCATTGCAGTACATTTTTCAACCGCACAGCGACGCAGTGCGCAACTTCACAAGGATGAATAGAACTGAATGACATTAACAATTAGCCTTAGCATTGAAGAGGGCATTTTCCTCGAAAGGAAGTGCACACAATGACCTGTGCAGAGAAAACTGTGGACGTTGCCACTGCAGACCTCCTCCTGAAACACTAGCTCCTGGCTATCTTCCTAATCCAATGGCTTCAATACTTGTCTCACTGAACTGGTACAAGCATGCAGCTCAAGAAAGTCAGACTGAAGTAACAGCTCCTAATCTACATACTTGTTCTGGGTCAGGGACTCCCAAAGTACTGAAGCCAATGGATTGGCATGACAGGCAGGAAACTAGCATTTCCAGAAGGAGAGATCAGATAAAACTATGGATTTTCTCATTGTTTTGTTCCCAGTTGCCCAAAACTAAAAGAAATGTGTTCTGAGGCATGTTCTAACGGTAATTTCTTCTACCACAGTACATTACATGTTGGGCACATCTTTAGTTACCATTGCAATACAGCAAACTTACTTCCTTGGAAATTCCACAAAAATAGTCACTGCCATTATTATTAAAAAGTCAAACACCATGAGCTTGTACATTTCTTGTCCAACTCGGGTTTCCCAACACTGTAAAATTAAAGAAAAATTAAACCAGGTGAGTATATCGTCTGTATTCCAACCTCTAGACCAAAAGAAGCGGTTAACACTTGCAGTGTAGGGGTAACCCCTCTGCAAGGGTTGATTTTGTTAACAGTTAGCGTTTCTCTTTAAAAAAACAATAGTGGGTGCATGTATACAGAAACCATGATTATTATTTAGATGAACAGCAATGTGAAGATATTCAGGGACACAAATACATCTTAAAGAGACCCTGTCACCAACTTAAAACATTGCAGGTAAAAGCACAGAAAAAAAAAAGTATTTTAAATGCCTTATTAAAGTGTTTTTCATTTCCATAAATTAAATTAAAAAATCCACAGGCCAATTCTAGCCCACGAACCGGTATCATGTGGCCCACAGTGTGCATTTCTGTGTGTGTGTGTGTGTGTGTGTGTGTGTGTGTGTGTTTATATACATACATACATGTGTGAGTCTGTTGGTCCTCTATGATTAAAATTAAAACCTTTAGGAAAAAAACAAACAAACACACAAACACACTTACTAAAAAAAACAAATATACTGACATTGCATACAAAGAAACCATCGCAAGCACATACACTGACATTATAAACACACACAGACATTAAAAGGAGAACTATGAGGTGAGTGCTTTTCACTCACCTCATAGTTCTAGCCGACCTGTGACACTGAAACTGTCACAGGTCGGCTCAGTAGATCGGGAAGTGAGCGAACACATACCGGCGCATGGGAGAAGAACATTTTTTTTCAGTGCGCCCGAGTAAATTGAGTTTGAGACTCCTGACTTACACTGTACCTTTAAACATGCTACTGAATTTGACTACTACAAGAAGAGTCCAGTGCCTAGCAGAGCATCCTCTTTCCTTGCACATCATTCTCCACTTGTAGGAGTGTCTAATTATTATCTGTGCTGGCCCAGCTCTTTTATCACCCTACATAAAATGTATCTTATTTTATTCTTTACTTTTTATATTATATATAGAAGTGCCTTGTATGTGAATTATATGATTATACACTGTATATGTAAAATATGGGAGGAATCCCTAGGAAATGAGAAAATCTATGTTAGAATGTATGTATTGAGGCATAAGGCTTATATTTAATAGTTGTTATTATGTTACAATCTTTGAATTGTTATTCTTGTATGTTTTCTTTTGTTATTGAAAAGATGAATAAACTTTTATGTAAAAAAAATAATGTATCAGTTATTAATGTAGCTGCCGGGTTGGAGCGTAGGGGACCTATACAACAGGGCTAGGCAAACTCCAACCCCCCAGCTGTGGGGAAACTACAAATCCCAACATGCATCTGCCTCTCGGAGTCTTGCCTTTGGCTGTCAGAGCCTTACAATGCCTAGTGGGATTTGTAGTTGCACCACAGATGGAGGACTGGAGTTTACCTACCGCTGCTGTAAAGCATCACTTGAGTGACAGCTCTTTGTCTGCTGGGGCTGCTGACATCGCATCAAAGATGGCGGCACCAAGCAGCAGTCTCAGGGCTTTTGGATGTGTATACAAGAGAGGCTTATCTTATGAGAAGATTTATGTTGAAATTGTCTGGTGACAGGGTTTCTTTAAACTCTAATTGGCTTGTTAGGTCAATAATACAATTAAAAAAAAAAAAAATTTTAAAAGTACACCTGTCATGAGAAAAATATATGGGCTAAAATTGTTGGTCTTCTACTGAGAAAAAGGAAGTTGCATGTCTGCATCTGGCCCAGTCCTGAGGCACAAGACAATTACTAGCATGCAGCAACTAAAAAACTAGAGTGCTTTGTCGCTGTACTCATTCTGGAGGTCAGCACTAGCAGTCTACACGTTTCAACATGACAAATTTTGTCTGAGCAAACAAAAAAAAATGCTCACTATATTTACAATACATACGCATTTGCCTATGTTTTATCCCTTTAAAAATGCTGCAAGTACAGAAAAATACCAGTCGATCTGCCAAAAATCCAGTGTGCCACTAACTTACTGTTTGAGCTGACTACTCCCCTACTGCCCCTGCTGCACTGAAATCCCAAGCAAAACACCTTTCTCTCTCCTCATGCATAATGTAAGGGGAGTGGTTCTGTTGTCAAGCAGCGTTATCAGCCATGCCTAGTTCTCCCATGCTGGACTACAGAATACAACTTCCTCTCCTCATCTCCATAACTTAAGGAGTAGGCGTTTTGTTGTCCAGCTGCACAGGCTGTCCATGATCCATCTTCTCCGCTCCATGCATACAAATGCATAAGCTGCAGCTCCTATGAGTATGCCCATTGGGTGAAATGCATCAGGGGCAGAATCATGTCTGATAGCGAAGATACTGCCTTACCTAATCTAGCATCAATAAAATTTGATGTGGTTCAGCAAAAAATAAAGTGGAGGCTTCATTTGTCGATAGCTGTGGAACAATGTGGGCCTTATGTAAGGCTGTTATATCTGTGAAATGAGAAGTATTAAGTCCAGCAGCTCACCTCTACATCTAGGGTAAGACTTGGGCAGGGCTGAAAGCACCACTTGTGATTTCAGGGAAGCAGAGGCAGTGTGTTGTCAACTCAGGCAGGAAGTTAGCAGATCACTGGATTTCTGTCATCATCAACATGTATTATTCTGTACTTGATTATTTTTAACAAGACTAGACATGGGGAAAGGTACATCTATTACTGATATATATCAAATGTTTTTTATTTAATTTATTTTTTTACATTTTGTCATCACGAATTAGGCACAACATAACAAGGTCCTATAAAAAGGGTACTAACATATGATATAAGAGACTTAGGAGGAAAAGTATTGATAATGAAGGGGACCTTCATGCATGAATGTTCTTTAATCTGCTCCCTCCTCCTTTACTCTTAAACATTTGCACATAGTTTTGTCATCCTAAATACCTTCCTATTTTTGTGCATCCTGCCACATTCCTGAGTCCTTCCATAAAGAAGAGTTATGTATCACCCCCTCCCCCCC